TAAAATTTAGAAGTTGTTTAATAGTTTAAAAGCCAGATTAGATATTCTCCTCGCCCTGGCCACTGGTTGTGAGCTGGCTTGCCGAGAAAGACATTAAAAAAATAGTTCATTGTATATTCTGTTTAACTGATATTTGCAGATAATTATGTGATCGCAATTTAGTCGTTATTACTATTTATTATTATTATTGTTCCCTTGGGTTCTTAGTGGAACATAGGGCTTCAACTGCACGTCTCCACTTGCTTCTGTCTTCTGCTGTGCTTTTCACCTGCATCCATGTCAGTCCGTACTGTTTCAACTCCTCTTCACAAGATCTCCTCCATGTCACCCTTGCACTGACGTCCCACTTGCCGCTTCCCTTTCGGCCTGGTTCCACTCGAGAAATGGCCTGACGCGCGCGCGATGTTACCCAGCGGCCTCCTCAGCGAGCGAGTGTCCAATCCATCTCCACTTTTTCCTGCATATTTACTGGTTGGCGATTGGTTCTTGTTTTGTTTGTTCCTAGCCATAGTTTCTTGTTGGTGATTCTTTCCGGCCCGGCCCGGCCATCTGATCTTCAGTATAGAGCTAGCGAAGAGAGTTGTTTGTTGATGAAGGTCTGCATGCAACAGGCTGTTGGAAATATTCTTTGTGACCCACCCGCCAAGTTTCTGATCCGTATTGAAGAACTGACTGACTCGACGTTTGTTTATATTGAAAATCCGACGGAATTTTGTTGTTGATGCTGGCTGAGTGACGAAGATTTCCAGATTGGTGTCAGGTTGACGAATGAATGTGTTTCTCGCCTTCCTGATTCTCGTTCGATTTGACATCCTCTTCTGTTCCTCCTGTAGTTGAGACAATGCTCCCTAGATAAGTGGGTGAATAAAGTAACTTCTATCAAATCCCTCCCGTTGACGGTGATTGTGGCTGAATGTTGCTGTTGTTATTGTTGGTTGGTTGGTTATTTTCATAACCTCCGTCTTGTCTATGTTCACCTGGAGTCCTGTCTTCGCCAGCTGCTTCTTCAACCAGTTTGTCGGTCGGTTTTCGCTTGTAAGTCTTCGATTTTGTGTGACATCAAAGATAAATCATCCACGCGCGAAATCCAGGTCTTCTAGGTTTTTCATGTTGGTCCAGGATATCCCTGTCTTCTCGTTTCCCACTCACCATCTGACGCATAATCCAGTCAATCCACCACAATTAAGAATATCATTGGTGGTAATAAGCACCCTTGTCTGACTCCTGTGTTTACTCCAAACTCCTAGCTGAGTTTTCCGTTGTGGATCACTTGGCATGTGACACCGTTGTCGTACAGCTGTTGAATGAGGTTGATGAATATTTGAGGTACGTCATAGTACTCGAGTAATTTCCAAATTGCTTCGCGGTCAACGCTGTCTGTCGAATGCCTTCTCAAAGTCTACAAAGTTGAGGTAGAGGTTTGATGTCCATTCCATGCTTTGTTCTGTGGTGATGATGCGTAGAGTTGCAATTTGGTCAGTACATGATTTGCCTTTTCTGAATCCAGCTTGTTCTGGTTGGAGTTCTGTATCTAGTGCCTCCTTAATTCTTTCCAGGATGATGCGACTCAGGATTTTACTTGTCGTCGACAGGAGCATGATTCCTCATCAGTTCTTTCTAGAGAGAGTCGTTAGTCGCCCTTCTTTTTTGGTAGTTTCACGAGGTAACCTTTCCTCCAGTCAGTAGGCACCTTTTACTTTACTCATGAGATGTCATTGATGTTAGAAAAAATGCTTCAGTATTCGTCAACAAACACCTCTTACTGTGACTGACTGGCTGATTGTCTGACTTTCAACATAGAACTTTGCACAGAGAATGCAGTTGTTTAAGTTGCCACACTCTACATAACAAACCAGGATATTCTTATTGTATTTGTGTAAACTGTGGGTGTTAGTTAGTATGATTAGGGTAAGCATGTTTAGTTATAATTAATGTGATTAACCTTTGATATAACTCATAGAATGTATTCATTGCTACGAATAGCTTTGCAGATGGAGAGTTTGGCTATGTGTGTACCTGTGTGTGTGTGTGTGTGTGTGTGGTGAAAACAATGTCTGTGAGTTACTTATTAATGTTGTATTTTCGTGGTCACTATTTATCGATTTTTATTGAAAGTGATCAATAGATTTAAAAAAAGTATGCATAATATAAAATTGAGAATATCTTCATTTATTATTATCTGCAGGTATTTTACTTGTTTTATATAATTAAATCTTTTCTATTATTATTATTATTATTATTGTATCCTTAATTCCTAGGGGAACATAGGGTTTCAGCCGCGCGTCTCCATTGCGTTCGGTTCTCTGCTAGAGTTTTCACCTCGCTCCAAGTCTGCCCACATGCTATCATCTCCTCTTCACATGACCTCCTCCAAGTCACCCTTGCACTGACAACCAACTCTCCACCGCTTCCCTTTCGGGTTCCACTCGAGCGATGGCTTGTCTAGTGATGTCACTTTATATTTTCCTCAGGGTATGATCAATCCATCTCCATTTCTTCCTGCCTATTTGTTTCACAATAGGTTCCTGGTGGGTTGGTTCGCTCATTGCCAGAGATCCCTATTGCTGATCTTTTCTGACCGGCCATCTGATCTTGAGTAGTATTGAGCGAAGACAACTGTTAATGAAGGTCTGTAGTTTGTTTGAGGTGCTCTTTATGACGCGCTGGCCAAGTCTCTGATCCGTATAGTAAGTGGCACTTACTTCATTGGAGTTGAAAATATGGATCTTATTTTTCATGGTGAGTGCTGTTGACCTCCACACAGACTTGAGTGTAATGAAAGCTTGTCTTGCTTTCCCGATCCTCGCTGCTTTGATATTCTCATCAGTTCCGTCTGACTGTATTTGAAACGATGCTTCCCAGGTAAGTGGGTAGGTGAAGGAAGTTGTTTCTCTCAGGTTCCTCCCATTTATTCTGGCTGACTGTTGTCTGTTGTTGTTGTTGCTGTTGGTGTGAGCCAGGATTCTTCATCACCACGTCTGTTTTCTCAATGTTCACCTGAAGTCCTATCTTCTCTGGATGCTTCTTCTTCCAGCTTGTTGCTTTTCACTTGCATATCTTCCAGTTTGTGGAAGATCAGACATGTATCACCATCGGTGAAGTCAAGATTCTCCAAATGTTTTGTGTGAGTCCATTTTATGCCTGTTTCGTCGCTGACCGCTTCTGTCTGTCTCATTATCCAGTTTACCGTAATCAAGGAACATATTGGAGATAGTAGGCGGCCAGCTTGTCTTACTCCCGTCTTCACTTCGAAGGATTCCGTAAAATTCCCGTTGTGAAGCCATATATATATCTATATATGTATTTAATTGTAGATTTGGAAGAGAAAATTATGGAAAAGAATATTCCCTGCTCAGATTTTCTTTTGTGCTCTGGGTTAATATCAAATATCTCAATAATATTTAATTATGTCACTAAGTGATCACAGGAACTCTACAATAAGTGTCGTTTTTAGATAGAATCTGCTCAGGGAATTTCAAACAGCACTCGTTATTAAATGAAAAAGAAAAATAACTCGATTTTTTAAAATTATTTTAGTGTAATTGTTCACGCAACTTGTGATTGGCCATTTTTAAGGTCATCCGTGCTCTAGTTCGCTTAACACACAAAGTATGCATGATGAGAATGAATTAATTAATGAATTATTATTATTATTATTATTTATTATTGCTGCCTTTTGTTCCTAGTGGAACATAGGGCTTCAACTGCACCTCTCCACTTGCCACTTCTGTCTTCCTTCTGTTGTACTTTTCACCTGCACCCATCCATGTTAGTCCATGCTGTTTCAACTCCTCTCTCTTCACACCATCTCCTCCATGTCACCCTCGCACTGACGTCCCACTTGCCGTTTCCCTTTCGGCCTGGTTCCACTCGAGAAATGGCCTGACGCGCGTGCGATTTCACCCAGCGGCCTCCTCAGCGAGTGTCCAATCCATCTCCACTTTTTCCTGCATATTTACTGGTTGGCGATTGGTTCTTGTTTTGTTTGTTCCTAGCCATAGTTTCTTGTTGGTGATTCTTTCCGGCCCGGCCCGGCCATCTGATCTTCAGTATAGAGCTAGCGAAGAGAGTTGTTTGTTGATGAAGGTCTGCATGCAACAGGCTGTTGGAAATATTCTTTGTGACCCACCCGCCAAGTTTCTGATCCGTATTGAAGAACTGACTGACTCGACGTTTGTTTATATTGAAAATCCGACGGAATTTTGTTGTTGATGCTGGCTGAGTGACGAAGATTTCCAGATTGGTGTCAGGTTGACGAATGAATGTGTTTCTCGCCTTCCTGATTCTCGTTCGATTTGACATCCTCTTCTGTTCCTCCTGTAGTTGAGACAATGCTCCCTAGATAAGTGGGTGAATAAAGTAACTTCTATCAAATCCCTCCCGTCGACGGTGATTGTGGCTGGATGTTGCTGTTGTTATTGTTGGTTGGTTATTTTCATAACCTCCGTCTTGTCTATGTTCACCTTTAGCCCTATCTTTGCTGCTTCTTCGACCATTTTGTCGGTCGTTTTTCGCTTGTAAGTCTTCGATTTTGTGTGACATCAAAGATAAATCATCCACGCGCGAAATCCAGGTCTTCTAGGTTCTTCACGTCGGTCCAGACAGGATATCTCTGTCTTCTCGTTTCCCACTCACTGTCTGACGCATAATCCAGTCACTCCACCACAATCAGGAATATCATGGATGAATAAACGAACCCTAAAATACTGTTTTCGTTTATACATATACCTACCTGAATTATTTTATTTATAATAATAATAATAATAATAATAATATCTCATTGAATTTGTTAAATATTCGGTCTTTTTTTGTTGTTATAGGGACAACTCCAAATATTTCAAACAATGAAGATGTTATCTTTAATGGTTTATTATTCTCCACTGTGAACAATATTACCATCACATTAGTTTTTATACACCCACGCACACACACACGCACATACACAAATACACATCAACATACTCAACACACATACACACATATTTTTATTGAATATTTAAATGTGTCGTTGGTTTACAAAGAAGAAGGAGAAGAATAAGCATGTTAAATCATCAGCATCACGTTTAATTTATCCAAGTACATTAATTGAATCAGAAAATTTAAATTTTCACCTAAATTTAAATTATGATAATAGTAATATTAATCCAAATTGTATATATGCATCGAATTATATTAAAACAACAAAATATACATTATGGACATTTTTACCATTAAATCTATGGGAACAATTTCATCGTTTTGCTAATGTTTATTTTGTTTTTATATTAATATTAAATTTTATACCAGAAGTTGGTGCTTTCGCGAAAGAAATTGCACCAATCCCTGTCATTATTACACTATCTGTTGTTGCTATCAAAGATGCATATGAAGATTTTAGAAGATTTTTATCTGATGGTAAAGTGAATAGAAAACCGTGTGAAGTATATTCTGTGTAAGTCGTCGCATTTATTCATTTACTTTTCATGTAAAGTTTAAAGAGCAGGATTTCGCGCCCTTTTCGTTTCACCCGCCCTTGTTTTTGAAGGCTGCTCCCCATTGGTTATTTAACCTTTAATTTTATTGGTTATTTCATTATTGTTGACCAAGGTATTCATTTGTGTGATGTGACGCGTGAGTGAAACGTCTGTCTACTAAGGACCAGTGTTCATCATTTCCTTTTAGCGCTCAGGTGACATTGTTTCCATCAGCTTAGTTAGTGATTAACGCTAGGCTCAATTGTCTGAATAGATGCGATCAATTCAGTCTATATATATGGATATACTGAAAATAATTATTCTTGGTATTTTATTCCATTTCGGAAATTTATGTTATATTTATTTCAATGGCTTTTGAACAGTATGCCTCTAAAGTTACTAAAACAAAGAAAATAAAAAAAGTGCTAAAGTTTCTTTTTATGCATGCCACTGTATCTATATTATCTCTGTGGTCTGATTTCTCAGTGGCCAGCTTCCTATTTTTGGGTAAAGCGAACTTGATTATGTATACTAATATGTTACAATATTGATGATTGATAAGTTCAATAATATATGTGTAAAACTTGGAGACTGTGGTGGCGACACCCTATATTCGTTCGTGTATTATGTAAATCACTCCGTGGAACAGTATTCTTCTCTAGATGACGTTTCAAACAAAATTTATTGTGTTTGCATGTCATCAGAAGTGTATTACAGCTGTTAGAGTGAGAGGACATAAACTCACCACCAATGAAATTGGTTAGTGCCAATCGCACTATATCCTGCGTGAATTAGCAGAAGTTGGAATTCGTGGACTGGCCATTAAATCAAGTCCCAGTGGCTTAATGGTCTACTAGCTTGCTGACCCTGTCACCGGGAGATCCTAGGTTCGAACCCTGGTTGTAGGCGCTTGTTTCTGAAGAGTCCCAGATTTTTACATCGTTTTCTGACTGATGTCAGTTCATGACGAAATCCTGTAACAGTTTTGTTGTACTGGTGTGGTTGTGTTCTCTGAGCTAGGTGTTTTTAGTTGCTAAGCTTACATTGTCTTTTCCTGAGCAGACTTCAGTATGAAGTGAGCTTTTTAGAATTCTTCGTGTGTGTGTGTGTGTCGGCTATCTCTCCTCGTAGCCTTGAACGCGATTGGTTATTTCTGAAGGTCTTCTTATCATCTGCATCATTTGTATTGATGTTGATTTTGTTTTGTTGGCCTGAAAGTTGACCTTTTGTGCATATGAATCTTTTTGTATTGATTGTTAAATCTTATTGGCGTCAGTGTGTCGGTTAACTGCTATTTCGTCTAAGTACCAGCGTGCTAGTTATGCCCTGACATTTTTTCGGTATTTCGTTTATCTAGGATACGTACATTCTCCCGGTCAAATTGGCATCCGCAGTTGTTCCTATGCACTGAAACGAGAAAATAGATATCACGTTTTTTTTGACAGCCAGTTTATGATCGTCGATCCAAGGACGAAGTGATTTCGATTAATTTGGGACGATATCTATTCTAAGAGGTTTCAGTAGTCTTGAAATAATTTCAGAGGTGCCGCCTGTGTATTGTAGAATCATTATCTTTTTGCTTTCACTGGATACCTTTGAGTTGATTAGTTGGTTGCCTGGTTTGAGGGTAGGCACTCTTTGATGAGGTATCGTGAATAACCATTTTTCTAAAAGGTGTTCATAAGATATTTCTCCTTTATTCTCATGGCGACAGGATTGCTGTAGTGTATCCTGGCTCTTCTGAATAACGTTTGCACGCAACTCTTTTTATACTCTCTTGGGTTGATGATGTTGTCATTGACCTTTTGTTTTCTCTGTGAATTGATTTTCTCTATATACTCGAGGTTATTATAATTTTTACTGTGCTTGTTCGTTTGACTAAGACACCTCAGAGAACACAGTTCCAGCAATACTATTCACTTGAGTTGCGAATCTTCTCCGTCAGATGTTAAAAATTATGGTTCATAATTACATCAGTTGCAACTCCTAATACACTTTTATTTTCTCGAAAGTCTTCCGAAAGATGTTACTCAGTGGTTACTTCAGAGTATGTCGAATCTATCTGCATTTCCTCCTGCATATCTGTTCTGCAATAGGTTCTTAGTTGGTTCGTTGCTTGTGCTATTTCATCCAACTGTCTGATCTTCAGTATCGATATAGTCCTTCTAGGCGAGGGTGCTGACAAAATACAGAGTCTTCTAAACACCTTGAGCTGAAATCTACGAATGTTTGGCATGTGATTCGCTCCCGCCAAATGCAAGATGATGTTACAGGACTGGAATACACCGACTGCTAGATTAGAAATAGGAAGTGAAGTGGTAGAGCACGTTGACCGCTTCACTTATTTGGGAAGTACCATCAGCCAGCCCCAACAGGTTGATCACTGACAAAGTCTCAGCACGGATACAGAGGGATAGTTTCGCATATGCCAGTTTACGCCGTCTCTGGCGTAGACGAGATATCCGACTATCGACCGAAGGGTGGGTGTACTGCTCATCAGTCCGCTCCATCCTCCTTTATCACTGTAAGTGAGACCTGGCTGTTGAGAGTGGAAGACATGAAAAGCCTGGCTGGCTGTCTTTGATCATAGGTGCCTATTTCCCGTGTGAAGTAGTATTATAAGGTGAGCAATATTGAAGTTAGGCCTCGGTCGAGTGCTAGATAAGGAGGGGAAATCAATTGACGAGGCTATGAAATTACATCGACTGAGATGGTTAGGATATGTGCTACGTAGGTCTAGTCATCGCCTTCCTTGTCCACCGGCAATGTTAGCTGATATAGGGTCAGGTTGGAAAACAGCTAGCAGAGGTCAAACCAAAACATGGCTTCACCAGTCAATGAAATCTACAACAGTTAGTCTAAGCCGCATAAGAAGGTGTAGACTTCCTGGCTGGGGTCTTTGGGACGGTAAAAACCAATGGTTGGAAACAATTGGTGACATGGCTCAAAATCGTTCTCAATGGGTGGCGCAGATGCATCCTTTTCTTGTGACTTATGATTTCGAATGAAACTGTTTTGTTCTTCGTTATTACTCCTCCTTTGTCTCACACCTCTGTTTACTGTCTCTAGTATGCATTTCTTTTACTTTCTTCTCTTGCTTTGTGTGCTACAAGGAGTGGAGTGTGGCGACTTGAACTGCTGCACACATGTGCAAAGTTCTATGTCGAAAACAGATAGACACTATCGAGCCAAAGAGGATGAATGTTGATAAAAGTTTGCAATGTGTTTTAAATGCTCTTTTTCTGATGCTCTTGCTAATTCTTTGGATCATATAAAAGTACTTGTAAACATAATTGGATAAATTACTCAGTGTGGTGGAGTTAGAAATGGAAGAGACACACTTGTGAAAAGGAAGGAGATTGACAAGTTTCCCTTGCACATAAACTTGATTGATTCATTTCAGTGATTACTGCATCAACTTTACTTTATATTCGAAAGGGTGCAAATTCAAAGCACTGCAGTCGAATTCTGTGCAGAATGAGGAAAAAACATGAGTCCAATTTGACTTTCACAAAGTAGAAGGCTAGACATTAATAGCCGCCCATGCACTTCCATAAGGATACAATGCTTTCCAGATATGCTTGCTTTCTTACTAATTATAATACTATTCCACAAGTAAATTCTTTGTCTTCTCACTTCGCCACCATGGTTCAAATCTTTAAACAACGGCGCAGAGGTGATCTCTTAGGTCTAATGTACTTCTCTTTCTTTTTTCCTAATATAAGTGCTTCCGCAGATACATGAGAATCAATGTATACGGTTGGAGGTGACATATGAGGCGTGCTTGTCGAATTTTGTCTCCACCAACGAGCAGGATGTCACCAATTCAACATCCTGGATACCACCTGAGAGCGAAGAATAGATGGGAGACTCGGAAAGTCGATTTCTTTTAGATACACATCAAGTGGTCTCAGCTAAATTCTAGTAGCTTCTGGTTATTCATCGATAAACAAAAGCTCGTAAAGATTCTGTCCTATAGAGCAAAAAGGACATATATTAAGCTGGTAAGTTGGAGAATTAACTAATATTACTTGAAAAATACCAGAAGGGTAATGGTTACATGCAGACCATATTCAAAAAAAATATTGACAATAAACGATGTAAAAAACCACAAAATAAATACAGTGAGCAAAAAGCCGACTTTTATACAACATGGTTTTAAGGGTATTAGTATTACGAAAATAGTAAGTAATAGGTTGATTACAGCACTGATCACTCCGTCTGCCTCGAGCTATCTGCTGCTGGACTCAGTCAATAGTCTCTAGACACCTCTCATATGTCACCTCTAGCTGTGTATATCAATTCGCGTATACCTGTATAGGTAATTGCAGAAGAAGTGAGCAGAAAGAAAGGTTCAGGTGAGATTCCTTAAACATTTACCAGTTTTCGATTATAAGCGTCAAATAGTGTGAACTCATCAGTCATCGGGCTTCTGATAGACACACAGACATTGAGTAAACGTGTATCAAGCATCTGGAATAGTTAGTAGACGAAACAGCCCAATCTGTCTTTGATTTGCTGAGAAAGGACTTAGTTGCTGGCCAGTTGCTCCTTAAGAAATAAGCCATTTGACTTCAGTAACCCTGGTAACTCCCTGTTTAGTAGCTCTCTGTTTTTTTACGAGTTGATCATGGATTTATATTAGTTAGAGAATCAATGGAAACCAAAGAGTTCAGGAGTGCTGTTTCATCCTAGTTTGGTAACCAACGGCAGTACATTCCCATTGGGATTCGAAGCCAGGACCTTCAGGTTACAAGACAAGCTTGTATACCATTCAACCACTGGGACCCGATTCAATGGCTCATGAATCCTATCTTCTGCCAATTCGTGATTTAGTGCGACCCCAACGGGCTCGCCTTGCAACCAGAAGGTCGTGGGTTCAAATCCCATTGGGTGCGTACTGCTGATGATTCCCAAACTAGGATGAAACAGCTGTCCAATACTCCCTGTGGTTGGTTTTCAATGGTTCTCTGACTGA